ATACAGTGGAAAATGCAAACAGTGGTCGTTCGCATGATTGCAGGCGAAAACTGAACAGCCTTCATTTGGTGGAAATAGTAAACAGACACGACTACTCACTCACCACGAGGACTATAGTTACATCAATAGATTATCTCGCCTCATACGCAATGCCAATTGCACGGGCCATTAGGTGGGACAAAACCAAAAGAGAGCAAACAATAAGAAAAACTCCTTGCACAGTTCTTGGAAACTATAGAGTTTGGGAGTGCGAGTTGACGCATTTTAAAGAGAAAAACTACCACTCATGGGAGAAAAATGTACAGGAGATAAGAGCGTCATGCTGATGAGGATGTGTGAGGTGGGACAGGGGAGCCCAACACGGATGTCGTCAGTATACTTATAGTAACACCGAGGAGGGGGTCGTGAAGGTCTCGAAACCCCAGAGACGCCGGAGATGCGACAATGTTACGCGCTTGCCGATTGCCGAGTCTGCCGACAAAGTGACGAAAACAGGAGAACCCACCAAGATCGTCAATTGACGATCTTTGGTTATAGAATTGAATATGCGAGTTCCAGGAAGCAGTTCAGAAGAAGAAGAAGAAGATGATGAAGAAGAAGAAGAAGAAGCGACCACTGGAACAAGAGCTTTATTGTCCTGATGTTTCGGATTCCATCGGGAATCCTTAATTATAGGTAATCGTAGAAAAGTGTGAGATATACGCAGACATAACTACGCAGACATAATAGACATCATGACATAACTGCGATGCATGCATAGAGGATGAATGCGACACAAATTAGTTTCATATATCAATGTTACTCAAACGTTGCAAGTAATTATATAACAATATTATATTTTTCGCCAGCGGTTAGACTAGAGAAGTCGGTTGATGTTACAGCGAGCACTGCTATAGCAGGCTGTAAATTAAGGTTGTGTGGATCATTCTTAAATATTTTTTCTATTGCACGCCGTGCATTCGTAGGCCGTGTAGTAAATCTGGCAGTAAGCGGTTCCCGAGGGGAATTCATTATGGTGTTCCTAATTGTGACTTTCGTTAATTTACCCCATAACTGGGTTAGAATGATGCTGGCTCGAGGCATATTGATACAGATTAGGCAGATATTTCCTTTTCTTTATTCAAATGGCGGTCTCACGAATTTAAAGTATGAATAGGACATCTGCACCAGTTATTTATTGAATGTGCTTCTCAACCCCATTGAGAAGGTTGCAGTAAGTTGTCGGGACACTGTGACTTAGTTTTTTCCTCAAACCGCAGCTTTCGGTCCACTAACGCCCCTTCGAACACTATGGGTGCAAGCACTTTGCTGACGTCTGCAACAGAACTATTGAAATTTTTGAACACCCTGTTCCTAGTAAATACAAAATCAATGACTTCGAATAAGTTCTCAGCATCCTCAAAATCTCATAGAATTGAATATCAGTGACTTCCATAAAGAATGACACTG